CGGTAGGTCACGTTTTTATGTACATCCGTGCGTCGTAGTTGAACAGCCTAAGTGTTATGTCTGTCTGAAGGTATGAGAATCACCATTGATGTCACTAACCATCATAAAATAGAAATGGCTTTTGACGGTAATAAGCGTAAGCAATGAAACAATAAAGACGCATAGGCGGCGACATTGGGCCTGGATTGACACGAAGTTTGTTCTAATCGATGCAGGTATTCATGCTTCTCATCGTGGATGAAGAGGGTTGCGGTGGAGTTGTGGCTTTCTCAACCCATTTAGACTCTGACCGTCCCGTTTAGAGAAATAAACGATAAATTTCGTCCGATAGACGAATTGAAGCAATGACTTCTGTCGGCAGGCAACCGAAATATAACATATTTATCAACCAGAAAGCTTTCGGAACTCTACGATAGCGAGGACAAGACAGTAAACAGTGACACAACATAAACATATTTTGATGTTTATGTAACAGCATATGAAGATTAGCAACTTTTGAAACAGTTGTTAATGAGTATGGGGTGGTTTTAGCAAATTAAACCATGCAAGATGCTTCTGACGTTATAAAGTGCGCAGATGCAATGAAACCGTGATCCGCTTCCCTCCCCCTCTTACCAATGTAACTGTTGTGCAGTGCGCCGTGAAATCTGATGTTAAGTGACCCAACGACGCGTAGAGGGTGTTAATTTGTATCAGAAACACAAATGAGAACGAGGGTGGAGGACTAAGGCTGCTAAAATTAAACGTAAATGGAAAAGAGGAAATTGAAAAACGAATTGGGCTAATTATACACGTGATCTTTTAATGATAGATTTCAGCTGTTTAAGAAGTGTTGATTGTTAATTTATTTGTTGACATCATCAGCAATGTGGACTTCAGTGAATGCCGGCTGATTCATGTAAAGATTTTAATGCTGTTCTGATAACGTTCCATTGTAAGATTTTTATTTGTCTGCTGTCGATCGTACACATTATTTACACGACATGCAAAACGGTGTTGTCCGCTGGGTAAAAGTCCTAGTATGCTCTTTCGACCATGTTTTCATCCTCAGTTTAGAAATAACAAGAAGTGAGTTCTTGCACCATTGGGGAGGGAATCAGGAAGTGGGTTCATACATCGTCAATGCGTTAATAAGTATAGTTTTGGCAAACGAAGTGAGATTGTGGTCTTGCGAAACTCTTCAGGAAAATATTTTTAAATGGTATACTTCTTGTTGATAAGATGCAGGAAATTGTAACTTTTGGTTTATTCCTTGCATTTCTCTGGTGGATGCAACAGTCGGTACTCTTCTATGATAGATCTGTGGTTTAAATGTTCATGTACATTTTGATGCCATCAGCCAGAAGTGCTGTTTTCGTTTTGATGACGGTGTTTGTTGCTAGCTTGTTACTGTTATGTGTCGGTTATCACTTGGCTTTTTCTCTGTTTTACGTATTGGCTTTAATTTATCTACCTTAAAACAATGAAATGCGAATGCTTGGCCGGAATCCAAGCCCACTAAGTTTCTACCGTAAGTCTATCAGTTCAGTGACTTCAGTATTCTGACTTCGTTAATGTGTGAACATTCCGATATTTCTTGCCAGTAGAACAATCGTTTGTATGCCAAAGCAAGCAATTCCTTTTCTAGGCGTTGCAGGGCAAAATAAACGACTGGGATCTCGACGGTTTCCTATCTGTTGAAAGATGGCGCTGAAACTTTTTTGATATAGAACTCGTTTGACCAGTTGTAAATTCTTTATCGACATGAAAGGTGTTCTTCGAGAATAATGCTGATTCCATTAATGCTAAAAGCTTGCAAATTTGTTGGAAATCGTGTGGTTGTAGCACTCGCTTAAGCTGTAGATAACTGCTTTTTTCTGTATAATTAATTAAATACTTTTTGATTTGGGCATTTTTAATGTCCATCATTTTTTATATCCATCGATTTTTACATAACATTAATCGAAATTGTTTCAGGAAAGCGGAAGCCCTGGAAAGGAATCCTCCTCTTTGGAGTATGTTGTGGTTTCGTCACCTCCTTGTTCTTGAATAACATCGATTTTAGCCTCCGGGGACCGGTAAGTCTTATTTGGCAAAGGCAGTGGCAACCGAGGCGAATGGATCGACATTTTTCAGCGTGTCTTCTTCGGACTTGGTTTCAAAATGGCTCGGTGAAAGCGAAAAGTGAGTTTCCCTAAACTTTGTCGTTTTTCTGTTTAGTTCTTTTCTGCCTTGAATTTTAATATGACTTTAAGTTTTTCAATAACATCTCTGTAATGGAAGCAAGAACGTGCTTCCTCATTTGCTGGACGTATGTTCAGCTGCAAGGTTTAAAATTATTTGTTGGCGTGTTCAGGCTGCGTTTGCTCCATTTTAGCATATTTGCGAAGCAGCGAATAGAAGCCAAGAATTTGTCACTCCGTAATTTCGCGATGATCGATTCGCCTTTCGGGTCTCTGAGGAAGACACCTCAGGCAGTGCTTCCAGCTTTCCCAATCCTCTACCAGAGTCTGAGCCTCGGAAAAAGCAACCGGAATCCAGAGAAGACTCGTTACATTTGCTCTAAATTAATCTTGACCGTTTTCTGATCCTTCTGCCTTTCGGCTGGGCAATAAATAGCTGCGTAGCCTTCCTCTCTGGAGGCATTCGCAGCACATGCCCAAACCGTCACAGCGGTGACGTCTCAGTTTGCAAACCATGTGTCAGAAGAAGAAAAATTAAGGCAATGCAGTCTGTTTTGCAAGCAGTGGGTTTGTTAACCCAATCGTTAGCGAAAGAATAATGGCTTTTGCATTGGTCTTATCGTTGTATCAATCACCTAGTCGATACCACTTAAATTGAAGTATTCAAATGTTTTCTGAATCATGTAAGGCAATGTGTATTTTCAGATTTCCTGACAAGCAGTTTCCTATTCGAATATGCTTTGACATAGTGATAAATATACTGCTTGCTGGACGACCTAAGTTTCTCTTAGAGTTTTAGAAGCTTGCCTCCTCTTGAGTCCTTCACTTGATCAAAACAACTGCATTTCACGCCCTGCGTAACTATGGATGCGCCGCTTAAAATGCTCATACTTCGCTGCGTCTTGTTTCCTCCTTAGGTTCTTCGCCTTTTTTCCTGTTCATAATTTTAATGTACTGTATCAATCGGTGCAGCTTACAGGGGGGAAATACCACAGATAAGATATTTGGCTGAGTGACTTGTCGGTTGCAGATAACCTCTTCATGGTCGCTTTCTTGCAGACCTTCAATACGCGCTTGATATGCATGCGATGAAGCTAGGTTGAAAGTGATTGTGACAAAATTCAATGCATTTTTACTCTCCAAAAGGGTCTCTCACTCTGCTGGTAGCCTAAGTTCAGCGTGATTTTGATGAAGTTGAACATCGCTTCCACTAACATTTTCTGATGATGGTAGGCATGACTTCGAAACAGACACTAGGATCAGCGATTCGAATACTGTAATACTGAGCCGTAGCGCGAAACTGTTTTCAATTCTGTCCATACATGTACAGTCATCTTCATCTTCCATCGCCGCTTCTCCTTTCGGGTCGCGGAGGCACATGCGTCAGACAGTGCTTCCAACGTTCCCGATCCTGTGCCAGAGTCTGAGCTTCGGCAAAAGACAAATGC